AAATGTTAGCTGCTGCGAAAGAAAAAAAGTTCGTATCGTAAAATTATAGCTAATTTTGATTTATATTAATTATTTTGAAATTACTACAAATGACATTACAATTAACTAAGCTTAATTAACCTTACTTATTCACAATATATTTACTTAAGAATGTTAAAAATTTGAATAGATTTACTTCGAATAGCGTAATGGAATAAAAAAATATTTAATTATCAAATGGATCTGAATCCAATTATTCCATTATTTTATTCATTCTATCCATCATTAATTTATTTCGTGTATTAATATTTCGCTAGCAAAATTAATAACGTTGAAAGTTTCTTTCTATTCATTATCTTGAAGATAAAATCTTTGTACTTTGACATACGGAATTCGATTTTCTTTTTTTTTATGGAAATCTCCGTTATTTAATGTCATAGATAATAACTTTGAAGTGATTCCCAACCAACGAACCATGGTGCGCAAAATCGGTAATGTGATGAATAGTAAACAGGTGAGGATTATTTTTATCAATTTTTGATAAATTAATAACTTTGAAAGTTTTGATTAAAGTTTATTTTCAAATCAATAGAATTTACTATTTTTGAATCTAATCAGGTAGTCACAGTTACAAAGAAAAAAATGAAAATGACCGCTGGTCAAGTAAAGGGTTGGGAACCACTGAAGAACTTAACAATCTGATATGATTATTAGTGATTATTTGCTTTTTTCACTTTCTGAAGGTAGTCGAGATCCTCTCGATTAATTTCTACAGAGCAGTTCACATGGAATCGATTCATAGATTTTCCGGAAACAAAAATATGTAAATTTATCGGTTAAAAAAAGAACCTTCAAGTTGAATTCATTTACATTTTATTTATAAAATATAATTTAAAGAAAAAATATAATTTATATCCATAAGTAATTTATTTGTAAAATATAATTCGTATTTTATTTACAAAATATAATTTCTTATAATTTAAAGCAAGCTGCTTAGAAACGAAAAAAATTGATATTAACTCTTCGTCTGTTCAGCTATTACTGTATACAAGAAAAAAAAAGGAAAAACGAAATACCCAGTCTCTGATACTGTAATAGACAAATGAAAATAGTTGTAACAGGAAATTAACCTATCTTGAACAGACTTAACATCCAAAAATGAAACTAAACGATGCACATCATTGATTTCATTTGCAGGTGCAAACATTAAAATTTACATAATTTTTTGATTCACAAATAAAATAATTAAAAAATGTCAAAAAGGAAAAATGATGTTATCTGTTGGGTCATGAAGAAGAATGAATACTGTTGATATGATTTATATAATACAATTAGAAACACAAACACATTAACTATAAGATGTAATGATCCTTGCAAGAACACGTGTTCCATCAACCAAATAGCGGAAATTCCACTCATCCTATCATAGTTTGGATTTCTGTTGTTATTAGATGATCGAAATTAAATGAATAATTTGAAATGAATTAAGCATCAATTCTTTCATTCCTTTTTATTTTCTTTTTTCTTTTAGTTCATATTTTCTTTTCAAATAATATAACACAATTTTTTTTTTGAAAAAATAAATGAAATTTTATTGAATATATGTATAGATATTAAGGGAAAAAATATTTTAAATTCTGTTAAATCATACCTTCAATAATCTTTAATCAATGATACAAATATTTGGCAATCTTAATAACTTTTTTCTCGAAAAGTAAACTTATTTAAGTGGACTTATTTTTCATAACCATTTGGCTCTTTTTCTATAACCATTGGACTTGGTTATTTTTTGATAACCTTTGAATTTGACTACTTTTTGTAACCCCTGAACTCGATTACTTTTTTATAACCAGTTGAATTAGTTTTTGAAAGCTCTTTCTTCGTTACTATAATAAAATCTTCTCGAACAAGTGACATTAAGAAATGATGATTGAATGTGAATATAATCGTTTGTATCTGTATTCATTTAAATATCTTCATGAATTCATTGAGGAAAAAAAGAAAGCTTTTCTTTAGTTATCTTCAAATCTTCATAATTTCTTTCTTTCTTTCTTTTTTTATTCTGAATGCTATATGATTTTCATAAAGTTTCATGAGAATATCGATGTTTGGTAATTTGATAACAATGAATAGATCGATCATCATCGATATTTCATTCTTTCATTTCCATTTATTAAAAAATTTACGATATTCAATACTTAAATCTGAAGATTTTAAGTTTGAAGCAAAAAAATTCGATAAAACATTGATTAATTTGCCCATCTAATGTAATAAATTAATTGATCAATTGTTTTGAACAAATCACATAAGCTTATATCATCTTGAATAATGATCAGATGTGTATCATTAAGTAGATTATAATCAGTGAGTTATGCAGATATCCTGTGATTAGGAAAGGATTATCAATAGTTACAAATTTATGATAGTTATAAATCGTTTTTTTTTCCCGCAAAATAAAATGCACGTTTTTTTTAAAAATTAAAGATAATTATTGAAAAACGAAAACTTGGAAATAATAATGACATACAGCTGATAATGGATCCTTTCAACAACAATAACAATAGCACCAACAACAATAATGACAACAACAACAACAACAACAACAACAACAACAACAACAACAACAACAATAATGACAACAACAACAACAACAACAACAACAACAATGACAACAACAACAATAACAATAACATAAACGATAATGATAATAATACAAAATATTTATTTTGATGAGAAAAAATAGTGAGAACTAAAAATGATTGCATAAATTCTCATTCATCACATTTACATTATATTTGCTATATAGTAAGAAGAAGAAGAAATGGAAAAAGATGGAGGAAGAGGAGGAGGAGATTAAGGATCTCCTGGGCCAGATGTGTGCCATTACCGCCATTGCTGTTGTCATTGCTACCGCTGTTGATTATTATTTACTTTAGTGATGAGAAAAATGCGAAAAGGAATGCTCAAATTTTTATGATAGCTTTGAGGGAAATTCTAGGAAAAAAAAAAAAGAAAAAAAAAGGAAATATATGACTGTAACGGAAAGACTCAATCAAATAATGACCTATTAGCACCCAGTTTTATTCCATCCCGCTTTTCTTTTCCTTTTTTTGTCTTACCCTCCTCCAAATGGACGATGAATAAGTATGCTGTTTATTTTATATTATTTTTTATTGATGATAATGATCATATCCGACCTCTACCTTCTCTCTCTCTCTCTCTCTCTCTTTTACAAATTCCTTTTGCTCTAGTTATCATTCTATTCCTTTTAATTTATTGTAATTATCATTTCTGAATTTCCATTATGTGGATCAATTTTATCCTTGCTATTATAAATAATGATATAACTTCTTTTCATGTTATTAACTGATATCAGCTATTCAAGAATAGGAAAGAAATCTTGAACATTTTTCCCGCACATCTTCAATCGGAATATCCCATATGAGCGTATTTATAAAGATAAAAGAACATCGGAAAAAAAAATGATAAAGGAATGAAATATTTCAGGTAGAATGACATTTAATTTCATCGTCGTTCATAGGAAAAATTTGACGGTTTCTTTTAAACAATTGATAACAGATTGATAAATAAATTGATAAATACTCTACAAAGTGATAATAAAAATGGATTGAATGATATTAAAGTATATAGTTCTGGGGCTGTTACTGTAATTCAAACAGTTCTTTTTCTATAAGATTGGAATGTATCGTAATGTGATAGAGAGAGAGAGAGGGAGAGAGAGAGAACGAAAATGGAATGGTACAAATAATAAATAACTATCACAAAAGGATATATGCTACAATTAGAATGGATAGTAGCAATTAGTGGGGAAAAAAAGAAGCACCTTTTCAGGTGAATTTCAATAGGGACAATAGCAAAATACTGCTATTAATGGTATAGCTATTGGTTACCTGAAATGTTATCATTTCAGGTAAGAGACGCCATAAAGTCTAGCTAACATTTAATGTATGTTTTGATAAAGGAAATAACAGATCCGGATATGCTAATTTATGTCATGCACTAAATAGAAGGTAAAAAAAAAATTGAAGGATAGAAGGAAAAAAAAAAGGTTAAAAAGGTTAAGAGTTCTATTCTATGTATGATGATCGTAAAAGAGTAATACAATGGTGAAAGAAAGTTATGCTGATGAGATGATTTATCGGACTATCACTAGGTATTATTTCATCTTAAATGCTTATTAATAATAATAATCACATTAATAAATGAAATGATGATAGTGATAATCAATGGAAAAAAGTTGAGGAATTGGTCAAGCTTATGGAGTCAAAGAAATGAGGATCTGTTTAGAAATTTGCATAACCCGTTATACACTATCAATATTTCTGCACAGCAATGCTTGCATCAATAAAACACATTTTAAACAAAAATGAAAGTCTAATGCAAGTCTAAAAATGCAACTTTTCACTTTTTCTTCTATCTTCTGATCAAATTCATCACATTAAAACAATTATACATCTGAAAATTTTCCAAGGAAACTTCAAAGTTGAGAGATGAAAAATCTCGAAAGAGAGCGAAATTTCCTTTCCTCTTATCATTATAACTAATGAATACATGTAAAAGGTGCAAAATCTTGCAGAAAAGAATTTCATATAATGAACATGATTGTTCACAAAAAAGAGAGAATAATAAATCCGAAAATATATACATAAAATATTCCTTTTCTGTAAATTTTTCCGACACTAAATCATTTTTTGTGTTATTTATGTCTTGATAAGATTGGGTTTGTGATTTGCATGAATGGAATCTTTATTATTTTTATTGATATGCAAGTTACATTAGTAATCACATAGACTCTAGCAATATTAACCATCGAAAAAAAGTTGGGCTTTAAGACAAGGAAAGGCGGAAGCCAAAGACACAAACTTAGCAGGACAATACTTCCAGCTTATATTATTGAAGTTTCTTCATGCACATACAATCAAAATTGTGTAGATGCGTTCCTTGATGTTCGATGACTTGTGCCAAAATTGATACTTAAGTTCAACAAGCAAATGGAGAGCCAAAATTTTATTTATTGTTTATTGACAATTTCCACAATACGTTTTTAGTGGACAAAATTTAAGATATCTTTATGCGGATTATCAGTAATTATGTGATGGACGAAGTTCGAATTAGCCATAGATGCATGCTGTTTAGCTGATAATTGATATCGGTGATTTTATTGTGGTTTTATCAACCTACAAAAGTCTTTTCTTTAATTAATACTTTTGTTACTTGTTGTGCACAAAAATTTTAAAGAAGCATGGGTGTTTAATATATTAGGATAGGAAGTATAAGTTGAATACTCCAAAAATTCGACAAAGTTTTTGAGCTTGACGTGTCAACTTTGTGATATCCTTTTCATCGGGTAAATTTGTTGGTGCGATCAATTTGCGCATCGTTCGTAAATCATTCAAATTTGTAATGATTTTGTTTAGTTCGTCGACTACCTGGAAACCAAGAAAAAAGGAAGCATTTTTTTAAAAAAAAGGAAAGCGCTTATTTTAAAAAAAGGAAGTGCTTATAAGTATCCAAATATCGACGCCTATTTCTTTCAGTAGGATCTAATAATCTAAAACCTTGACTTATATATGTAAAATTTATACTAATGATACCTCGCATCTTTACAACTAATTAAATAAATTCAGCAAGCGACATGAATATAATTCGATAACGCTGAAAGAATGAAATTTAAAGCAAAATCAACCAACAAGGGGAAGTGTTTTCAAATCTTCCATTGACCAACTTTCTTTTACGGGAGCTATCATTTTACCGCATTGTAAATGGAGAAGTTTGGTAAACGCCAATATGTCATCATTTAATACTCGACACTAAAATTGAAGAAGAATCGAGCTTTTCTTTCCCAAATTCAACTTCATGTTCAAGCAAAATGTTTGATAATTCAAAACATGTTGAAAATAATTTAATATAAAATCGAATTATACATGCGTTTCTGAAAGTTATTCTAATAATCCGAATCAGAGCATATTGTCCATAATTAACTCCATTTATTTAAAAAATTTCAAGTTATACGTCAATTTCAATAAAAGCAATACTATTTAAATATTAAGATTATGCGATTGATAAATCAACTGATTTTGACTCAAGTATCAAGATAATTTCAGATATGAAGAATTAATTGCAGATACAATAACCCTACATAAAATTATACATCATCTAAAAATTAAATTTTAAACTTTCCGTACAACCTTTAGGGGCGCAGAAAATATGAGTGAAGAAAAAGCAAGCATTTCAAAGAAATACTTACTTTTTTCTACATTTATATTTTTATAGTTCTTTTTCCGTTTCTCGTAAGCTTTCTAATCTCCAAGTTCATGGCTTATTTATTTGAATCCAAGGATCATTTCTGGTGTTAAAGGAGTAGAAATTTTCTGGCTCCTAAAGACGAC